GCATCCTTTGCAACAGGAAATTAAAGCAGTGTGAGGAAAAGAAAGAGCGTAATGCGTCAAAAAGAGGGTACGTGAAAGTCAAGCCTTAATGGGATTGGCTGCCATATAATGGTGTGATCAATATAGGTCTACATATATGTAAGAAAATTTGAACATGATCCGTTCGCCAGTACCTATCTGTGTCATTGACTTTAAATTATAAGGAATAAAATCATCCAACAAAAAGAAAGCAACAAATTACTGTGTATGAGAGACTGGGCCGACAACATTTTTTTGATTGCCCACATTTGTCTTCCTATCATAAACTATCTTATTCGAAGTATGGTTTGATCAAACACTAAACAAGAGCAATGTTTTTGCAAATAATATATGGATCCTATGTTGAGTGAAGATGAAACATTTTTTTTTTTGAAATGCATTAAATACTGTCCAAACTCTCATTCACACATGGACAAGTATGAACCAAGCGTAGATAAGCTAACTTCACTTTAGCTCAGTTAACACTTCAACTAATCCAAGCACTTTAATTCAAACAATGCCATATTTTTTGCTTGTTGGATCCTCCATATGTCCATGTCAATTGATAGTTATAATGGACAAAATTTATATAGTTAGCTTTATAAACTTTTTCTTTTTTCAATTACATAAAAACATGTGGATCTTTTATAAATGATTTATTCTATAACAAGTTCTTGTTATGAATATTAACAAACGCATTAAAATCCAATTATTTTGATTTAATCCAAGTGTTTTAATTCAAACAATGCCATATTTGTTGCTTGTTGGATCCCCCATATGTCCATGACAATTGATAGCTATGATGAAAAAAACTTATATAGTTAACTTTTTATACTTAAAGTATTTTTTTTCAATTATATAAAAATATGTGCATCTTTTATAGATTATTTATTTTACAATAAATTTTGATTATCAATATTAACTAACGCATTTAAATACAGTTATTTTAATTTAATTAAATAAAAATATATTAAATATATAAAGTCAAGTACATAACTCATGTCCAACTACAATAATATTGATGAGATGTTGAATATAGTCCGTCGACCCTAATTCACGTGGACCACGTCTCAAAACTACATGGGCCGAGTAATCCATTTTCCTCGGCATTATGTTATGTATGAAGCCCATCCTCATCAATTGACTGCAGCCCGTATGATTCACGACAATTATTTTCCATAACTTAATTCTTGGTCTCTTTCTCTGGTCAATCTATAATTTTTTTTTACACAATTTAATTATTTTATATTTCGTTATAATAATAAAAATATTATTATTTTTCAATTTTCAGATTTTATATATCTTGGATCTCTAATCATAAAAAAATAATTCATTATTTATTTAAAATTTTATTTCTATATTTATATGATGTTCTTACTCATTAGCTGTATCAAATTATTTTCGGACGTTATTTAAAGTAGATTTATTTTATATTCTCGCTATTTTTTAAAGCTTAAACAAATTTAATTAAATTTTCATGAAATAGTGTTTTTTTCAACAAAAAACGGTGATTGTTAAACTTAAAACTATAAAAAGATACACACACACGCTCATATATATCCACTTGAACTACCTTTGTTTTTTAAAATCCTACATGCTTCTCAAGTAGATTGTCTTTTTCATCTTTTGTAAAGTCCGCTGCATTTTTCTAAAGCGATGCATCACACGCTTTAAAGGCCACTCACGCCGCGAGTATTAAATTAAGACAGTTAGAAAAATTATTTTAATTAATTAATTTTTTACCTGAATTTTAATTAATTGATTGATCACTTAATTTTTCGTCTAAATACAATCTGAAACGCATCTTCGACCAAGTCCAATTATGAACCCCTTCTATTTTGGCACAAACAAACTCAAAACTGATGTTAACGTTTTTCATTTACTACACCGCAAAAGAATGAACCCCGAATTACGTTTTCATATAAACCCAATGTTTTTTTTTAAAAAAAACTGCAAATTAAAATGATTCTATTCAAATTATTGTTGGCAGTAGATAACAAATTCGGCATGAATTATGTTCAAAAATATTATTTTTAAGAGCTACTCCAGTATATTTGCACCAACATCTCTCAAAATTAAACAGACTCGTTCTGCAAAACAAGTAAAGCAACAAAATAACAAAATCTAACAAGAATTAACTCAAGCAACACAACACGTCATTGAAGGAGGAGGAGATTGAAGACATGAATGTTGGGACTTTAAAGCTTTGAATTAAACCACCATTATTTTAAATAAATAATTATTTATTTTTTTAAAAAATAGTCCAGTAAAAAGAATTCAGTGCCTCTTTAATTCTCATATAAAGGAGTAAATTGACTATTTTTAAATAAGTAGGCTTGTTTCATGCACGTGAGTTCACTTCTTCTCCAAACCCATTTACTAGCTCATTTCATCTCTTAATATATATACACCAGAAGCTCTCCTTATTTGAATAACTTGAGACTTATCATTTTGACACACCACTTCAAATATCACAACAATTGTTACGTGTACCTTTTTTTTTAATGCATGAGAATCAATAAGCAATTAATTAATGTTTAAATAAAAAACCATTTTATAACCATTTGTGTTCCTATCCACAGATTTCTTCGATGAAAAGTAACGATAACCTGTACATGCCTATCTACTTTTACTTTATAGCATATATGATGAAAAAACAATTAAAGAATTATAGACAATAAAAAAAACATCATAAAATCAATAATCTAATTGGTCTCCAGAGGTGTTGAATAGGACACCTGAATTTAGTTCGTGTGTGACATGAAAAATACAATACACAGCAACGATATTTTACAATGGCAGTGTCCGAATTTACAACTTGAGCCGCAAAGCATGGATGATAGTGCCCTCTCAACCTCTTTCTAATAAAAAGCCCATAAAGTATACACATGTGGATAGAAGCATCCAATCACAATAACAAACGCTTATATTAACCCAAAAAAAAAAAAAAACCTCGCACTTGTTCGAAAGTTGGCATCCCAACACCCCCCCCAAAAAAAAAAAAAAAACACTTCGCACCAAATTAGGACCAGGATGACTTGAAATATTAATTTTGAGTAGCATCATTTTCGTGATGAATGGTGCATATAGTTTAATTTGTTTAATTCTCACAAATTTTAGTAAGTAGAAATAGCGATGACAGAAGTTTTTTTTTTTTAAAAAAAAAGAAATTCCTAACCATTTTATTGAAATCAATGAAAGGTGATTAAATTATTAAAATTTTATTTAAAAAATCACTTTATTCTTATTAAACACGTCCTATTCAAAGGCATATTTTCTCTTATATATAACTTTACTCTATTTATAGAAAATTGTAGAAGAAAATAATTAATAATCAAATTTTTAAAGCAAAGTAACTTATAAAAAATATTATCACTCTTTAATTTTTTACCAAAGGTTGCTTATATAAAAGACTAGAGCATGGGAGATCTTGTAGCTCAAATTTATATTTAAAAACCAAATCAGCTTATCTCTTAGGTATTCGCACGTGCATATACAAACACACACAACGAACATACTTTGGCTTAGAATAGTAGGGATTTCCGCAACTAAATCATAATTATGTGTTATTATATTAACATGACATATATTTGTTGGGTCAACGTAGATACATAACTAATGTGCAGTCAGTCTATACGTGTGTTTAATTAAAGAGGGTTGACCAGAGCGGCATTAATATTGCCCACCACAGGATCAGATATTTTTGCGAGCACCGTATAAATTGATGATTTTATTTATCACCGCAAGAGCTTTGTTTCTCATTTTTCTGCATTGACCGACTCTACTCGTTTTAAGGGACAGACTTTGCTTTCATCAATGATGGAAACTTTCGATATAAGAAACAAACATAATTAGGACTGTCCACTTAAAAACTTCATGGTAGGATTATCTCCCCCCCCACCACCAAAAAAAAAAAAGGCTTCATAATAGGAAAAGAAGGGCTCTCAATGTAAAAATATATTGCCAGCATAAGACTTGCACCAAATTATACTATTCATAAATAATAAGTAGTATAAATAATCTTAAATTATATATATATGTATAATACATAAAAATGATATCAATATAAAATATTAATTTTTTAACTATTTATATATTATGGATAACACTGCTCACCTAAATACAGTTGTACATTTTCTATTTATCATGTACACATAGACACATACGTTGAAAAGATGCAAATGAACTACTCAGACATGATTAATAAGCTGTTAAAAAAGGGAAATACATGCCATCTAAATCTTTAACTATTCTACATTTGCAGTAATTCTTCAAAACAGCTTCCTTCTTCTGGTGGCGTACCCCACATTTGGTAATTTGCTGTTTCCTACAATACCATCCAAAAAGCCACTCTCTCTTTCTTTATATTTCATTTTGTTTTTAGATAATCAATCACTATAATAATTCAAACTATTTTTACATTTAATTTCCTCTCTTGAACAATATTTTTATCCATTTACAAAAATTTTTAAATATTATCTATAAATATTTTATACTTTATTTATTAGGGGCCCTAAAGTTATTAAATTGTCCTCTAACCCTAAAGTTAAACGTATTGCATAATATTGAAGTAGGGGGGGAATGAATTTTTTTTTTTCCCCCAAATACAACAAAAGCCCAAAAGCCTAAAAAGCGAACTCAAACGGTTAAACTCTAATTTCTAAAATGCAAGGGACTTTAAGTCTCTTAACAGATATCATTTTCCATAATCAGTACAACTATTGTGTTCACACTTCACAGAAATTTCAGGAAGAGCAAACTCGTATGGTTGACTGGTCAATTTGACGAAGGTATAATCATCCCCACCACCCCTTCCCAACTGGCACTTTGCAGGGGAACAAAAATTAACAAAAGCAAAATAACTTAATGCGAGTATTATTTTTAATTAAAAATGTATCATTTACGTCTCATAATTACCCTCGTCAGGGTGGAAAAAGAACAGTCCCAATCATATAAATATGACTGGCAAAAGGAGGTTAAGAATGGAAGAGAAAACAAAGTAGGAAGAAGAACCCTATCAACTCCAGAGCTGTCGTACTCAATCTGTGTCTCTCCCAAGGGCAGTGCATTCCAAGTCTTGGCTTCTTGGGCCCATAACCTCTCGAAGATCCAGTCTTGTTCGACATGCGCTCCTCGTATTTCATATCTACTCACTCGCAAATTATATCGAGTTGCTCGTTGTAGAAGGGAGAAGAATCCAAGGAAAAAGTCCACCCAGTCGTTGAAGAAATGGGTGGCGGCAATGGCAAGCGCAGGTGGAGAATTTCCTTCCATCGTTCTTCTTCGTCCTCTGATTCCAAGCTCGACGCAAAGCAACCCCCGAAGGAGTTTCTATGTCCAATTTCTGGGATTTTCATGTCCGACCCTGTTGTTGTCGCTTCGGGTCACACATTCGAACGTGTTGCCGTTCAAGTATGCAGAGATTTGAACTTCTCCCCCAAACTCGAAGACGGGTCGCGGCCCGATTTCTCCACAATCATTCCTAATTTGGCCATAAGAAATACCATCTCTAATTGGTGCAAAAACTCCGGCATGGAACTCCCTCGCGTGCTTGAATATAGTTCTGTCGAGAGGGTTGTACGCGTATCAATGGCGTCCCAGCAGGAATCGCCAGATTTAAGGGTTTCGGAGATGGAATTGTTGAAGGCAGTGGCGGACAACCCGCCGGTGTTTTTCTCCCACGCCGCCACTGAGTTGGGTCCTCGAGTTAACCACTTCGATTCGTGCTCGTCGGAGGAATCGGTAATCATCGTGCCCAGTCCCGGCACGCCCCTGCATCTAACCACTCGTCCAACCTGTTACTCTTCATCGTCGTCTTCTTCCGTAACCGTCGAATCGGAATTTCAAAACCCTAATGGCCCAATTTCCGAAGAAGAGGACAAATTAGTCTCGAAGCTGAGGAGCAGTGAGATTTTCGAGCAGGAAGAAGCCGTTAAATCACTGAGAAGCATCACGAGGAACAGAGAGAACACCCGAATTTCTCTCTGCACTCCCCAATTGCTCTCCGCCCTACGATCTTTGATCGCCTCGAGGTACTCCGTTGTTCAAGTAAACGCCGTCGCTTCGCTGGTCAATCTCTCCCTCGAGAAATCCAACAAGGTGAAGATCGTACGGTTGGGATTCGTCCCCTATCTCATTGACGTCTTGAAGGGGGGATCCGATGAATCGCAGGAACACGCAGCCGGTGCCCTCTTCAGCTTAGCCTTAGACGACGACAACAAAATGGCCATCGGAGTTCTCGGCGCGTTGCAGCCCCTCATGCACGCGCTGAGATCGGAGTCCGAGCGTACCCAACAGGACTCTGCACTCGCGATGTACCACCTGACATTGGTCCAAAGCAATCGGGTCAAGCTCGTAAGGCTCGGGGCAGTTCCGACCCTACTCGCGATGTTGAAATCAGGTAAATTGACGAGCCGGGTGTTGCTAATTCTTTGTAATCTAGCCGTGTGTCCGGAGGGCCAATCGGCGATGCTGGACGGGAATGCAGTAGACTGCTTAGTGAGTTTATTAAAGGAGAAAGAGTTGGACTCGGAATCGACTCGTGAGAACTGTGTTGCTGCGTTGTATGCGCTTGGCCATGGAAGCTTGAGGTTCAGGGCAGTGGCGAAGGAGGCAAGGGTTATGGAGGTGTTGAAGGAGATTGAAGAGAGTGGTACAGAGAGAGCCAGGGAGAAAGCGAAGAGGATAGTGCAGATGATGCGGGCAGGAGGAGAAGACGGCGAAGATGGAAACGGGTCGAATTTTGATTTGGACTCGGGCGGGTTGAACCGGAATCGGTTCCGGGGGAGAAATATCAACGTTGCGAACTCAACTGCATTTTAGATATGATGATTCTGCTGGGTATAGTTCTGATTCCGTCCTGTTGGTGGTGAACAGTTGAATTTGTTGGTTTAAGCATTGGAAAGTTGTAATTATTGGTGAAATGTATGATGGGTTGTGAGGAGGAAGATAATATATCTGAGATGGTGTAAATTGATTTGTTGATTTAGCTTGTAATTAGAATTAGAATTTGTGAGCGTACATGAGTAGAAGACATATTGGTAGACAACACCAAAAATTGGTCGTTTGTGAATGTGTTGTTTTATCATGGAGGTCATTCATGTGGCCTTTCTTCTTATCTCAGTTTGGACGCAAAACCATTCAAGAATCTATGGCCTATTGGTATCCAATTCATGATACTTGATTCAAATGAAGCAGAGATTCCAAAGGTTCAACAGAGGAGACAGCACCGAGAGAAGATTAAAACGTGGCCAGATAAGGAATTAGAAAGGACACGTTAGGAAACCAATCTGATACGCCAAATCAGGAAATGAAATTGTAACCATGTCCGGCTAGAGTGCTGGCCTGAGACTGAGCATTTACAATTTGTGAGTTTGACTGTTGGCAATTGACAAAACAGTACTGTCATATAGTAGTCAAATTATAATCGTCTTTTCAAACTATGTGCATGGCTTCTTGAGTCAAAAAAGGGGCCGTGGATGAGAACGGAATGATGGACAGTGTTTTTCTTGGATATCCTTCCGATATTGGGGATGTTTATTTGATTTAAATTTTATTCGCTTGCATTTTGTTGAGAAGTGAAGTTTGATCAGTGTGAGATACGTTAAAATGCTGGATTTTCCCGGAAAGGCAATGAATTAGCTGATCTTCTCGCAAACCGAAGCTTTGAAGTTCGTTCTTTTTTCTTTCTATCTTTTTTTTTCTTTGGTTTTTTCCGGCCGACAGCTTTGAGCTTCTTCTGATCTGAGTATTCATAATCTGGGATGTTCTCTCAATTCATTTGTTAGTCTGTTAATTATATGATGAGATAGACGTAACTCTTACAAGCAGTTTTTGCTTGTTGCTTGGACTCTTTTCCCTCTTTTCATAAACTTTTCCTTTTATATCTTAAACGTATGCGCGTAATATTATAATGGTTAAAGTATATATTTAACTTTTTAATTTTATATAATATTTCATTTTAATTTTTTAATTTTATAAAGTGCTGTTTTAATTCTTTAATCCTAAAATTATTAATTTTATTTCAATAAATTTTTAAAATAAATTTTTAAATATTGATAAAATATTTTTAAATATTAACATAATAAATTTAATTTTTTTAAAATAATAATTATTAATATAAAAAATAATTTAAAATTAATAAGGTTAAAATTAAAGAATTAAAAAATATTTTATAAAATTAAAGGATTAAATTTAACTCTTATATTAAGTTAAAAAATACTTTAAATTATTATAATAGCTAAAATTTTAAATATTTAATGTATCAGAGCTTAAAAGTTAAAACTGAAATGGAATCAGAAATCACTCTCACTCGAAACCTATGTCTCACCATTAATACAGCGACGTTTGAATCCGAAGAATGGGGAAGATTCGCAAAAGAAAACAGCCTGAGAATGATCTACAGTCGAAGTTAAATTCTTCCTTCGAGACTCGACCAAAATCCACCAGAGCCAAGAATGGCGCCTTTGAAAACCTGAAAGATCCATACCCAAGTCACGCTCGACCCACCCCCGAAGATTGCCGAGCCGTCCGAGACACTTTATTGGCCCTGCACGGTTTTCCTCAAGAGTTCGCCAAGTATCGCAGAAAATCAACGGACGATGCCGTGAAATTGGCACAGGACGCCACTGAGTTGCCTGCCCTAGAAGAGAGTGTTCTGGACGGTTTGGTTCGGACGGTGCTCTCGCAGAATACTACGGAGACAAATTCCCAAAGGGCTTTTGCTTCCCTCAAATCTGCCTTTCCTACATGGGAAGATGTATGTTGAACTTCTAACTCTGTCTCCTTCTGGTTCTGTCTATGTATAAAATTGACGTTTTCTAATTACACACTATAAAGACATAAAAAACCCACATCACACATGAAGAATCTTTATACCAGTGCTGGAATTGTTGTCAAATGCCTTCTGTTCTGAGGATGGTAGACAGAACCATGAACTCGTAGCTGAATTCTGTTCCTATCCATTCTTATCAAGGGTTTGCCTTGCGTTATTGATGAGTTACAGCCATATTGAATTCATCGCCTTTCCCCCCTGGGGGGAGGCGGGGAAGGTTATCTCTCATTGTAAATGAGATCACAGCTGACTTTGTAGTATGAGTCTGAACTCCCTCAAGGAAAATCCTCCTCCTTCAGTCCTAGTCCAGGGTATACGGATATGCTGATCCATCAAGTCCCCTGTATCCATAACTGTCCTTTCATCGTTAGTTGCCCTTCTGCCCTTGTCATTCTTGGTCTTCGGCTTTATAGGTGTGATAGGGTGTTACAATTTCCTGAATTTGGAAAGTTTGCTTGTCTTGCATACAAAAACTTTCCTTTATTATTTCATATGCTTTGATTTTAAAGTTTGAGGAATAGAGGATTGATTGAACTCTTGTGGCCGGTGAAGGTTCTTAGTGCTGGCGTCAAGGATGTAGAGGATGCCATTCGATATGGTGGTTTGGCTCCAACTAAGGCTGCTTGTATTAAGAATGTATTAAGTTGCTTGCTTGAGAGAAGAGGAAAATTATGCTTGGAGTATTTGCGAGACTTGTCTCTTGATGAAATCAAGTCTGAGCTATCTCTTTTCAAAGGAATTGGTCCCAAGACAGTAATCTTCTCTACTCATCTTTTTCATTGGCTTTATTGCTATGAGTGCGGTTTTTTTTTTAAGTGAAATACTGTTTTAATTGCTTTTGTAATGTAACCTTCAACTTCAAGGACCTTGTGGTTTTCTATTTTGCAAATCATCAGGCAGTTATTTGCTGTTCTTGTGAAGCTGTCTCTCTATATCTCACCCGATTTTAGTCATTTGAATTTTGTTTCATTGTTTGGATTACATCTGATATAAGGGCATTCTTAGAAATCAGAGTGATCAATCAAAGTCATGATATCTTCTTCTTCTTCTTGTTTTTTTTAATTGGTCAATCCATTGCTGATATTGTACACTGCTTCTTCTTCTTCCTCTTCTTCTTCTTCTTCTTCTTCTTTTTAATTGGTCAATCCATTGCTGATATTGTACACTGCTTCTTCTTCTTCTTTTAAAATAACCTGTCTGCATGCAGAAAATTGTCATGTCACCTTCTGAATTGAAATATTTTACAAAGAATTCTTGATAAAAAATTCTACCTTTGCCTTGAGTCTGCGTCAAAAAGTATCCCAAGATTCCCATTGCATCCACAATATGTTCTTAAATATAGCTGTAAAGTTCTTGCATTGTGGAAAATTGAGTTACTGATAATAAACTGGTAAAAAGTTTTGACTCTGGTATATATAAAGTTTGAGTGAAACAATTTTCTGCACACAAGCTGTTCTCAAAATTATAAGTTGATCTCCACAAGAACAGAGGTGGCAATGGTGAGGTCAGATTTCTTGTTCAACTTAGTTATGAAGTTTTGCTTCTGTCTTGTAGAACCTGAGATTGTCCTAGAAAGAGCACTGCGGAGGTGCATACATGATTTGTTTCTAAAATATCTAATGCATGAAATTAAAGGCAAAAAGATTGGGATATGATCATATGGATAATTAATCCAATCGGTTTTCCAATTTCCAGCTAATCCTAGGGCTTTGAGTATGAAATTCCCCTGGGAGTTTGACCCCAAGTAGCAACTTGAGGGAGAAAGAAAAGCAGAAAAATACTGAAGTAAGGCTGAGGCTCAATCCCACATTTGTTTACTGGTCCACTTGGTATCCCTTTTGAAGAGGCATTCTATTTCTATTGCACACAAAATGACATGCAATTTTTATTGCATCCCTGTCATCATTTGTGCACAGAGGGCCATGAGAATTAAGATTCAGTTTTGAGTATACTATGCTTGTATCTCCTTCTCCTAGTGGTAAGAGATCCTTTTAAACGGTTGAATTGATGACAGGTAGCTTGTGTCTTGATGTTCAATCTTCAGCGAGATGATTTTCCTGTGGACACACACGTAAGTCTGATTTCGTCTTCCTATTATCAGTATTGAAAAGAAGGGTTCAATTTCTTTGTTCTTTTTCACCGCAAATTCCATCTATATAATGCAAGCGTAAAGCGTGAATATGTATTTATTTACACAGATATTTGAGATTTCAAAAACCATTGGGTGGGTACCAGCTGTTGCGGACAGAAACAAGACGTATCTTCATCTAAACCGCCGGATCCCAAATGAACTCATGTTTGACTTGAACTGTCTTCTGTATACACATGGTAAGCTCTGTAGTAAATGTACCAGTAAGAGAGGCAACCAACCTAAAAAGGCAAGTAGTGATAACTCTTGTCCTCTGCTGAAATAATGTGAGGGGTCGGTTTGAATTCTGAACTCTGCAGACTAACAATTTTGATTCTTCAGTCCCGCTTTTTTTTTTTTTTTTTATGGGATTAGGTCTTCTGTTCATAATTCATATGCAACCTTAGAATGGTGCAAGTTAACTTTGACTCTGATGTCCTAGGAGTAATGCTTCATTTGAGATGTTTGCTTGGTATCAAGATATCCAACATGATTGAATGCACGCGTTGTAATTTGGTGATGTAGTTTTGTTGAAAGATAAATCATCATCCAAAGTTCCATGAACTAATTCTTTTATAGGGGGATCATATCTACAGGTTGTCTTGTCAACAATATCGGTAATGGAATATTACTATAACACCATCTGGTCATGACAGTGGATTTGTGCGGAGATGTGTTGTAGATTACAGATTTTATTTTTTGAACTCTGTTTACAAATGATGACTATTAAGTATGACAGAAACACTTAGGACGCAATGTTAATGACAGTCATGTAGATCAATGAAAAGGAGTGTAATTACTTGAGTGGAAAAAAAGATTGAAATTTTATAAACAGAAAATAAAATGCTGTATAAAGGATTTTATTGATTAAAATTAAACTTACTTGAGAGTTAATCTGTTACTTATTAGGTTGATGTAAAAGTCAATTTGTGTTTTAAAATTTAAATGACTGAGATGATAATTTAAAAAAACGCAAGATTTCAACCCCACTTCAAGTTTATTATGATAATATGATAATAAACTTGAAGAATTAAAAATTTCATTATTGTTAAAATTAATTATAAATTTTCAACCCCATTTTTCACTTGATATTTGTGTAAATTATAGGTTATGCTGATGTCACTTTTGCAGTTAGCTGCAAGCCATCTTCCACCATACGCAACACAGCACCAACACCTCAGCGGACTCATTTCTCTCGCCGACATTCATTCTACTTTTCTTTACGTGAATTTTGTTTCCAGACTCAAGACAACGCAGCTCATTTCTCTTCGAAGGAAGGGCTTTGTTTTTTCATTATTCATTTATTCTGTTCTATATTCTCAATCTTTTCAAATAATTCTTTATCTTTAAAGCAAAAAAAAAAAAAACTACTATCTATAAATGAAATATTAAATGTTGCCAAAAATGAACAATTAAATAATCGATTTGAAATAATTAGTTAATTTTCGGAAAAAATCAACATGCAAATTAATGTCTCATGTATAATCCTTATCCTATAATTTGTTATCCTTTTTTGTCTTAGCATTTATTGTTTTATTAATGTAAGAGTTAAATGGTTTCTCATTCATATCCTTCTACAACTCCACTCATAATAAAAAATAGTGGTGTTTTCCCCCCAGAAATACTGCTGGTTGGAAGAAATTAGAAATGCCTGCTAACTGAAAGCGCTGGTGTAAATTTTCAGATAATAATTGTTTTAATGTAGAATATTGTTATTTTCCTTCTTAACTTTGTTGCTGTAGTTCAACTTCAAATAAAAAAAAAAAAAAAGCAATGAACATCAGGCGTTTAGAAAGTATTGGAATGTAATTTCAATTGATTAGCTTGTGCGTTTGATTTAGAAGTTGCAAAACTGGTATTAGACTGAACTAATGCTTGTAACTCGAAGTTATCAAGGGAAAAATCACTTATTTTAATGTGATTTATATTTAAATATTTTTTAAAAAGTTGGTTCAAAAATTGTAACTTATTTGGTTGATAAAATTTAAAAGCAAGCTTAGATGTATAGTGATGATAAAATGCATGAATTTTATAATATATATTTTTGTTTCTAATTGTTTTCTTCTTGAGAAAAAATATTGAATTTTATATTGCAATTTAAAGAGTCAATATATATAATTAAGTATTATTTGTAAATTATAAAAATTGAATAACTTAATAAATATTAAATTATGAACGGTTAAGATTAATTTTAAATTACAAAACGTTATATTTTAAAAAGCTAAAATAAATTGAGAGGATAAGGGAGTAAATTTGACAAAATTTGAAATCCATGAAATGCCCAATCTAATTTTTTCACAAACCCTTTGGAGGCTTTATTTAAGAGTAAAAATAAGTAATTTTTATACAATTAAATTTAAAAGTTTGATCTCTTAATTAGGTTTGGTTCAGGCAAAATAACTCGAGTTACTTTGCATTTTAATTACATGTAAAGATGTAAAGTTTAAAGATAATTAATTAACTTTTTTTGTTTTGGAAGTATGATTTAATTAAAAATATTTTTTATTTTTTATTTGTGGGAGGAATTTACATCAAGAATCGTTAATTAATATTTTTTAATTTTAACCCTAGCAAATTATTAAAAGAAAATGTAATTCTAATTTAATATTTCTACGTGGCTCCTTAAATGATATGTTTCTTTATCTCTTTAATAGGAGTAAGGTTGAAATATAATTTTTTTTAAATTTCAAAACAGATTTAATGAATCAACTATCCTTTCTTGATTTTGGTGAGGTGGTTATTCAGATTTAATTATTCTACAACTTCATTCATGTTCAAGAATAGTAGTGTTCCCCCACCCCCCAAGACTTGTAATTTCATTTTTTGCTCTAAATTAGAAATGTATTAAAAAATCTTTAGCATGTCTAATAAGACAATTTCATTGTTTGAAGTTAATTTTATGATATATTCAAAAAAAAAAAAAAATCGAGCAATGCGCGGGATTTTTTCCCCCAATTTTCTGTAAAATATTCTCTATATTCAAAACTTTTTTATTTTTACTGGTGATCTTTAATATATAATTTACACTTCCCAACGTGTTAATTGAGACGAGCTTAGTCTAACCTAACAATTGATAATCATTAACTTTTGCATTTCTAATTCCATTCTTTTCAATTATTGTTCAACTCTCCTTATTGTTAATTTTTTATTGAATGTAAATTTTGTTCAAACTTTCTATTGTATACGACATTAAATTTCATTCTTTTCAATCGTGCAACTCTATTAATTGTTAATTTTTAATTGAATATAAATTTTGTTCAAATTTTCTAAAAAATATGGGTATAAATATATATTTGAATTAATTGATGTAATTTTATTGAACATCTTCTCGTAACCGATTAGAAAACATTGTTACTATTTTCTTTTAGTATTTTTTTGCCAACATTACGTGAAATATTTCTTGTATCCTAAAATTGAATATATATCAAAATAGATCTTCATTCTATCTAGCAAGACAATTTTCTTTTCATAATCGACTGGAAGACAGTGTTGCCATTTTCTTTCAGTATTTTTTCACCAACATTACATGAAATATTTCTTGTATCTTAAAATTGAATATATATCTAAATAGATCTTCATCCTGTCTAACAAAACAATTTTATTACATAAATTAAAATTTGGAAAATGTTGTTATTTGTATTATTTTTAAAATTTTATTATGTGAAAGCCGTGCAGTTAGATTGAATCTCTTTAGCAATCATGTAAATTAAAGTAGTAAATTATTATGTAGATCAAATTAGCCTTAGTATAATCCACCACGTTGAATGTATCGTTTGCCATAACAAACAACACATAATTTTATGAAATAATATTTTTTTGCCCATTTTTTACAATGTTTTTTAAATTATTGGTATCTCATGTTTTCATATACTTTACAACTCTAATTTAGTTTTATTTTGAATCATGTTTATTTATTTAATGGTGAAAACTTAAAATTTCATTTGAAAAAAAGTTTAAGTATCAAAGAATTTTACAAACAATGAATACAAAAACTGACGATTTTATCAACAAATTTAAAACTCAAATCAATCAATTAATTAAAATTCTCTGATATTTAAACTTGTTTTCAAATGAAGATATCAAGTGTCCACCATTAAATAAATAAATATTATTTAAAATAAGACAAATTAAAATCATAAAGTATGTGAAAGCATGAGATACTAAGTATTTGAAAAATATTGTAAAAAAGGGACAGAAAACATGATTTCACAAAATTATAGGTTGTTCATTACAGCCAATGATACGCTCACCATGGTAGTCCACGCTTAAATTAATTTGGTCTATATAATAGTCAACGTTCTATATATAAACGATTGGAGTAATTTGCTCAAAATTTTTAAGGTCAGGGTCTAGGATGCTACTCTAGTAATAATTTAGGATCTATAACACTAATTAACAAATAAAACATCAGCAAGGGACTGTCATGTCAGCATTTGGTTGGGGCCCATGATGAATAGTACAGTGAACAATAATGGCATTAACGAAAAGATAACAGTGAAGGCTAATTTGTTATAAATTTAAAAGTTTAGGGTTCAGAACATTTTTCATGGAATACTTTAGGGTTTAAAATATTCATTAATCCTATTATAATAACTACAAGTATAAGAAATCTCTAACTTTCATCTCTATAATTTATTTGTCTGAATTTTTCCTACATCCAATCTATAGTTCCTTCGTTGTATTGTAATCAGCTTCAATATGGAGGATGCATTATCTGATAAGCATATTAAGTGTGTGTTTAGTTTTCAATTTGTTAAAAATTAGTTTACTAAAAGTTCATTTGATAAAAGTCAGTTTGTGAAAGTTTGTTACTATAATTAAATTTGTGCTTGAATACACTTTTCAAGAGGTCAATTTAAAAAATTAAAAATTATTTTGATTAATGATGATTTATACTTTTGAAATGTACTTTTGAATATGTAATAAATAAAAAAAATATTAATTTATGATGATTTATAATTTTTATTATACAAATATAATATATTAAAAATTTTTAAAAATGTGAAAAAATTAAAATGTATAAATAATGTAAAAAATTTTATTTTGAATAATTTTTATAATAAAAATTGCATGAAACAATGTAAAAAACTAAACAAGTTGGGAAGACATTTATAATAAAATAATGATAAATAATAGAAATTAAATTATTTTTATGATACATTGAACTATAATTATATAAATAATTTAATGTATATTAATATTAAAAATTAATATAATAAATTATTTTTTTAATTGGGTGCTTTCTTTGGGCAGAAAATTGATAAACATATGTCATCAATATCATTTAATAGTGTTTTTTAATGGGCTTTCTTTCTATTGCTATTTATGCATTGTTTAGTTTCTTGTTCATTTTTTCTCTGCATTTCTTGGCTTTGTTTTTGGATGAAGTTCTAGTCCAAAAAAGAATCAAGTAACAAAAATATTGAAAGAACTTTCAAAAAGCTACCTAAGGTTGAGTTAAAGAAATAAATTTTTAAAGTTTTTCAAATGTATTTTTTAAATGAACTTTTTTTAAAAAAACCAAATAACTTTAACATTCATCAATTTTCAAAATTCTTTTTTTGATATGAAATATAAAAAAACCAAACGGACTGTAAATATCACCATAAACCTGGCATTTTCATGATACATATGACATTTGAGATTTACCTATAGTACACTATAAACATGAAATTGAAATAATAAATATAATTAGATTGAATATCTTACAAATATCAAAGAAAAAGCATAATTCACATTTTTTGCATTATTTTTTTAAATAAATCTTAATGTTCTTGTGTTTATTTAACAAAGGAACATTAATATTTTTTTTACAAATATTCTAAATGCTGACGAGATATTTTACTCAATTGTCTCATGTAAAATCCATGTAACATACAGGACTTAGTCTAGTTTTAATTAAAAGACAGCAAATAAATGAGTTGGAGCCAACTTGAAAAAATCTATAAAATCATATACTCTTTTTATTTAAAAGTGTAAGGTATTTTTAATTTTTTGATGTGTAATTATTATTATTTTTTAAAAGTGCTCCTATTGTTAATAACTTTATTTTAGTATAGAATATTTAATAGAGGTAAATATAAAAAAATAAAATTAATTTAAAAATAAATAACTACTTTATTAAAAAATAAAATTTAATCAAAAATGTTTTGAATTGCCTCCTTCGCAACATGCCCAGTGGATATTCAAACCCTTTCAGGAGACATGCTTTTCATCATACCTTCAATGGGATTATTTTCTATAAGAAAATATATATGACCAATATAAAAAATCTTATCGCAACGGTTGTGTAATTGTGTTTGACAAAGATAAGTACGACCTTTTCTTTTGTTTATCTAAAGAAAACCTTCGATTTTTTTTTTAAAAATTGTTTTCAGGAATCAAGATAAGAATTCGTTTTGGATTTTCGTTTGCTTATTTACTTTCCCTCGTTGGGTCTGAGGTTTACTCAATGCTGAAAGCATTCTCCAGATCGTACTCCCTCCGGGTTCGCCGCCATGTCAAAGTCCGCTTCTTCCTCGTCTTGAAACCTTGTCTGCTCGTAACTCTCTTGCATCTATTTTGATCGAAATTGCTATGGTTTGTCGTAATTATTTGAGTTGGGCTGTACTATGCCTTTTGGTGCTTTCACTCCTCTCTGACTCGTCCTCTGAGCCACAATCTCGTTGGGCCACCAAGAAAAAACGCATGAGAGAGAAAGCTCGCGAGATGTATGCCAATGATCCGCAAATCGCCTTATTTTAAATTATTATTTTGATTGGATAGTTGTTCATCATATGTCACCCCGTTGAAATGATTGGTTCCATCTTCACCAATCTCTAGCTCTCGCGGTCACTCGACGAGATGCTTTCGATGGTGTATATGTGTAAGCTTACAGTCCGGAAATTGTGATTTGATTAAGTTGTCTTTTGTTACTTCATTGCCTGTTGAAATAGTGTATCCGAGCTGAGGAGGAAGATCATATAGGTAGAAGTGTATAGTGGGAGTATTTTGTATGCCAATGAAATATGGGAGAAGTGATGATGTATAAAATATTTAACTGTCAATCTTTTGTTTCTCTGAATATGGTGAAAAAAAAAAAGAAAAGAAAAAAACTCTGAACGGAACCTTCTGGGATATAATCTTTCACCTTAGACTCATAGTAGTTGGTTGATTGTTTTAGTGAAGATAGCCTAAGCAACGAAGCAGAATGATGCTTTTGGCCACAAGGGATTTTCATTGTTTAGTGTAGTGCAATTGTAATTTGTGTTTTATGCTGATTTGGTATCTTTCCCCCTTGATTTACTTGTTCAATTTCACTTTTTATATTAACTTTTGTTAGGGAAATAAAAACTTGATAGAACTGCATGTCCTTTAATATTTGTGTTCATGGGGTTTTCACGGCAAATTATTAACTTTCCCTGATTTTCTTCTGTACCCTTGCATTTAGGTTTTACCATGCGTATGACAACTACATGACTCATGCATTCCCGGTTGGTTGCTTCTGTTCATTGCTACTCCTATTATTTACTGATATACACCTACTTGACAATATCTATTCGTTGTATTCATGCAGCATGATGAGCTAAAGCCTCTAACCAAAACATTCACGAACTCCCTTAGTGAGCTAGGAAATTTGAAGGTGAGTTACATGTTAATTATGAAAATCAAAGGAAATTTTTTTTTAAAAGTTAATTACAATTTACAATTGCAGCTTGAACACTTGTCTCAAGACTACAATGGATCAGCCCTGACGCTTATTGAATCATTGTCTAGGTATATGGGTATGGTGATGAATTTTTAGGTTGTTAAAATTTTGTAATCATAGTTATCTCTTCTGTGAGTTTTTTCCCTGTGCATCCTCTCAGACTGGAAGCTGTAAATTGATTCTAATTGCCCTTTCTTCTTTAGCCTGGTTATTATGGGCAACAACACTGAATTCAAGAGGGCAGTGCTCTGGCTTTCTGAAAACCTAACATTTGATGTTGATGCACGAATAAATCTTTTTGAGGTAAATCTTAGAATTGGTTGATTAATTTTTATTCAGTAGTTTTGAAAAGCTTGGTGGTTTTAATTGTTTCTTTTTAAATGACATCCAGATGCCAATGTTTATTAGTAACACTTGATATTTGAAGCCTGATAATGTTATTGTTCCATCACTTGATCATTACCATGCAGTGCAACATTAGAGTTCTTGGAGGACTTGTCTCTGCTCATCTTCTTGCATCTGATTCTGCAAATAATTTGTTTCAAGCAGCCTACAAAAATCAGCTGCTAGTACTGGCTGAAGATTTAGGGAACCGCTTTCTACCAGCATTTAATACACCCACGGGATTGCCATATGCATGGATCAACTTAAAGGTATTTTCTGAACATGCTAAAGTTTTGCATTCTCCAAATTTATAATCAGATGTGATATCATGTTTACCCTATAGTTTCATTTAATTTGTTTCCGAGCATTTTGACTGTTTAAAGATAGGAAATACTTCTCTAAACCCTAATAGTCAGATGTCTTGTAACTGCATTACGAAAGAAGCATCATTGCAGAGGATTGAACTAATATCCAAAACTCAGAAAAGTGCGAAGAAAATGTAGAGTTTTTGTTCAAAAAGAGTGAGGAGTAATTCTCCTTCTCTGAAGTGAACTTTTTTTTTTTTCCCGAAATAAAAAAGCTATCAGTTTACAGTTCTATGCTACTTAAGTCTCTAGTTATTAGGCACATGATATAGTGTTTTTTTTTTTTTAAAGTAAGGGCTATAATGCATCTAACCAACTGCTATATAAAGTTTTAGGAGAATTAATTTGAATATGCTTGGAGATTTTATATGCTTTGATCTACAGTGTTTTTTTTTTTAATGTGTCATAAACATCTCTCAAAATCTCTACTTTCTCTTGTCTTGGTCATTATGATTCCCCAATTATTTAAAGAAAATAATGGTAAGATTCCTATTAATGAGGTTTGAATTCTCCTGAAAGCTAAAAGTTCCTCTTTCAAACAAAAGGCTGTACTGTTGTTAATAGCTTCATATGTTACTACATTCATTTGAACAAACTGTCTTCAAGTCTTGAGGCATATAAATTATAGTCTATTTCTTTATCTTTTTTTCTTTGGGCCTTCTGTTGTTTCCCTTTTGGAAAGATATATGACTATACCATTGCCAAATTCTGTGAACAGTACGGAGTAATGGAGAATGAGACTACAGAAACAAGCACTTCAGGGTGTGGTGAGAGGTCTAGTTTAGTGTTTCAAGGTTAGAATATAGTAGAATGATAGTTTTATTTGTAGCTAATTCCAATTTTCCTTCTACGTGCAGGTTCTTTAATTCTTGAAATGGGTGCTTTATCAAAATTGACTGGTGATCCCATATATGAATCAGTGGCTTTACGAGCTATACGCAAGCTATGGAGCATGCGGAGTTCATTAAATTTATTTGGAACTACTCTTGATGTGGAAACTGGGGAATGGATAGAGTTTTCATCGGGAATTGGAGCAGGTAGGCTCACCCTGAATTGGCACGTCCTTTATCTGTTAGTTCATGGGATTTTCCAATACAGCAGCTGCATGCTATTGTCCATATTTGGGAAATAGTGAACTGTCTGCTGCCGTTGACAAATAATGTTGATTCGTATTATTAGTGATGTCTTAACCATTAAGCTGATGCGCAGACCTTGATGTTTTTGACGTTGGATAATTTTTCAAATATTCTAGGGGTTGATTCATTCTACGAGTATCTTCTTAAAGCCCATATCCTTTTTGGGAAGGAAGACTTCTGGAGAATGTTTCACTCTGCTTATGTTGCTGTTCAGAAATATTTCAGACATGGTCCTTGGTACCACACTAACTGTATAAATGCCTATCAGATATGCTTATCGGGTGCTTTAGAATTGATAGCCCATAGGTAGAATTTGAGATTGAGTATATTTGCTTCCTTTGCAACAGTCATTGATTTGAGCTTGATATTCTAATGCAGGTACCATGAAGCGGATATGAGGACAGGAAGAGCAACTTATTGGCAACTTACAAGCCTTCAAGCTTTTTGGCCTGGACTACAGGCATGTGTTTGAGTATTGATAGATAACTACTGAACTTTCAAGTTGACAGAGACACGTCTGTCTTACTTTTTCTGTGACTTATGGAAACTAGGTTCTTATTGGGGATATTACAGCTGCTAATTCAACGCATCGCGAGTTCTACCATGTGTGGGAGAAATTTGGAGTGCTTCCGGAGAGGTATATTCTGCTTTTGATGAGTTACTTTGCAACTGATATCTATTTTTGTATAGCAGTCATCGCATTTTGTTATTGCATCACTTTTACAAATTTTCACATCGAACTGTAAATCAATTTCAAGGTATTTACTGGATCATCAGATGCTGCATCCTACTGAAAAATATTATCCATTGCGCCCTGAATTTGCAGAGTCAACATTCTATTTATATCAAGCAACTAAAGGTCTGATCATTCTTTCGTCTTTGAGTTCAGTGTTTTTGTAAACATTTATTTTTGGGCTGATGAACCAATGTTATTTGGTATTCGATCTTGACAGAACATGGAAAGTACGAATAGTATAGTCCTTCAACAAGAATCATGATGGTTTATCCATCTCCTTACTTCACATTAACCATTGGTAAATTTCAGATCCGTGGTATATTGAAGTGGGGGAATCAATAATTAATTCCCTCAACACGTACACCAAAGTTGAAGGAGGGTTTGCAAGCATCAGGGATGTGAAAACAATGGAGCTGGAAGATCATCAACATAGTTTTTTCCTTGCTGAAACGTGAGATTTTATTGTTTTCTGTTTCAACCATGCAATATTTATTTACTAAAGCCGAGAAGAAATTGAAAATGGACTTTCTTCCTCATATAATTGCTAAGATTATAACTTTTCGTGATTTGGCAGGTGCAAATATTTATATCTTCTATTTGATGATTCATTTTTAAAAGATGGCAATTACATATTTACCACTGAAGGCCATCCCCTTCCAGTTCCAAGTGTTTGGCAAGAAAGGCTCCCGGAAACCTACGTTCCTACAAATTGGACTTACATGAAGGTACCCGAACAATTTCCAGAAGTGATTTCTGTTGTTCGTCTAAAAGGAATCATCTTTCTAATGTCTATAAACTTGGATTGCTTGACATGGCAATGCATCAGCAGTCTTAGATATTTTGTTCCCATGCAAGCTTCCTTTTCATATTGCATTTGATATTGACCAAACTATAACAATAAATTCTCAGAAATTAGTACAATCTAAACTGTTGGCAAACCCTGGAAATGGAAAGGTATATGTTTATGGATTTGCATCGTAATTTTTTTGCTTGTACAAAGGGCGATGCTAATGCGTGTGAGTTTCTCTGTGTTTGCAGAGTGAACAAGCATACAAAATAAGTGCAATGTCAATGCAAGTATGTCCCGCAGTGACTCTAAGCTCAGGGAAACATGTTGAGAGTGGATGCCATGTACCTGACGCTCGCAGTGACCACAGGTGTTTCGCTGATGAAGATTGTGGAGTTGATTCCACTTCATGTAGAAGAAGATCTTGCAGTATGGCTGGTTATTGTGGGTTATGGCTCTCCATTTGATTCATCATGATTTTTTATTTCACACATTCTTTCACCCACTTAATATGTCGAAATCCCATGATGATTTAGAAATTAGAATCCAGGAAGTTCTCATATTTATTGATTAACAATATCTAGTTTTGTATAATGAGAATAAACTGATAGGCATAATTATCGCATTCTCTTCTTTTTTTCATCTCTTCCTTGAATTATCAATACAAAAAGAAGCTTTATTTCACTAAATGAGATCGGTTGCATGGATTGTATAATGTCGTCGTATTCTATTATCAGTCAATATTTTAAAAATATTATTAATTAAGCAGTCTTATTTAATAATTTTCATAAGTGTTTTCTTTAATTTTTCTCCACTCTTTATAGGGTTCAAGATTATTAGTTCTATTTTTTTCACCAGTATCTCAATTTTTTTGTATATGTTCAAATTATTTTAAATAATTTTTTATCATTTTTCCTTATAGATGCTACATTCATTTTTTTTAAAAAAAATATTCATTTCAGATTTAATCTTTTCATGTATGTTGGCACTTTCATATCTATTTTTATATCTGTTATTCAACTTTATGCTTGTGTTGTTCTTTTAAACTTTAATATTCACTACTATATAATATATAGATTTTATAGTAATTTAATAAAATTTTTTTTAAATTTATTAGGTACATTTCGATAACAAGTAGCTCTCTTAATTTTTTTTCCTAATTAAACTACCTATGTTGTATCGCATATGCAACATTCCTTTTAATTTTCTAACCATATTGAATAATGACTTTTAAATATTTAAATTTTTTTTTACTTGAGGTGTAATCTAATCTCTAATTTCACTTTCAAAGTATTACTAATTGACTTTTTATTAAAGTGATAATACAAATATTTCATCTTACTCTTTATCAGGTGAAAATTTTTTGACTTTAAGGTTTTCCTCTATAATTTTAGTTTGTAATTAATTTTTCTCTTGTTTTCATAGTAAGAACTATATTGTCTACAAAGTTTTTATAAGAAAGTCATTTATTTCACTGCTAGACGTTTTGATACTGGCCGTTGTTTACTCATACATATTTTATATAACTTTAATATAGACAACTCATACTCTTTTTTTTTTTTTGTTCAAGGTATTTCTCTCATGTGTAAATCTTTACCTTTATTTTGATATTTTTTTATTAATCCTCTTAATAGATAAATCACTCCTGTAGTTACCTTACTCAACATAAAGTCAATATGTTCTTACTCCAATGTTAACCTATACTTAATCATTATTTCTACAATTTCATTATATGACTTATAAGATTAATCCTTTTATAATTTGCACAATTTTGAATAACCCATTTATTTTTGTAAATAGAAATTAAAATGCTTCTTCTCCATTTGTCAAGCATTTTCTTGAATTGTAAAATTTCATTAAATAACTTAATTACTCATCACATCCTTTTTCACTTAAACATTTTCACACTTTAAAAAAGTTACAATCAAGTTCACTAGCTCTATTATTTTTTATTTTTTTAAGAGCTTCTTTTATCTTACTATTGCGTATCTTTTAATAGAATGACAAATTCTATTTTTCATAAGTTATTAAATTCTCCAAGTTACTAGACAAGTCCCCTCCATCATTGATAAGTTCATAAAAGTAGGTCCCCAATTTGTTTTTAATATCACTATTTATAAATAAAACTCTTCCTTCTTTATCCTTCATGTATCTTACTTATTTCAAATTTCTTAGCTTTTTACTACTACAAAATTTGCTTCTTGATACATGTGGCTTCTAGTATATGAAACCATGCAAATGACTTTCAAGTATCAATTTTATACTCTTTAAATTTTATTCGTGTGTGTAGACAACCCATCAAACTGAGTTATAATAGTGGAAAGTTTATAAGGGGCGACTCAAAAATTTCAAAAGAAAGGTTACAATATAAATTTTTTTTCTAGTTTTAAAAAAATAAATTTATTATGCTTATAATATAGTATAAAAATTCGGGTCAATTGGTTTGATTGAATTGATAGTGTTAAGCGAGTGATTTGGCTAGTTTAGTAAAATGTATTATTTATAATCAATTTAATCAAAATTGAATTACTATTTTAATTATTAATTTTAAATAATGATATAATTATATTAAATATTTTTACATTAATTAAGAAAGAGTTATTCTCACGGATATTCAATCAGTTAAAAACAAAAAAAAAAAATAAAAAAGGTCTTGATAAGAGATGATGATGATGGAAGACAGGTGGATGGAAGCTGGAATCAGTCACAATGATCCCAACTGGGGTAGGTGGGCACATCGAACGAGAGCCAAAGTCTGACAGACGGACTTTATAGAAGTAAAAGAAAGGAGGAGAGTACTTTGCCGTACTGAGCAAAACGACAAGGCGTAGGCGACTCAGGAGGAGTGGGCCTCCCATGGCTTGTCGTTCATCCCTCCTGCCCCGAGATATTCAGCCTTCCAGCTGGCCTCCATTACCTCGCCCACTGCTTCCCTATCTCTATCCTTTCTTATTTTGCTATAATGCTATTATTCTCTGCCCCTGTCCTAAAATATTACTCCCTCCTATTTTATTTAAATGACACATTTTAAAAATAATTTTTAATTTAAAAATACAAAATATTTTATAATAATATTACTCCCTCCCTAACTTGTTTGTCGTATTTTTAAAATGGATTTAGGTTTTAATTTTGTTCCTTGAACTATTTTTACAACAATATTTTTAAACTATTTATCATAATAATATTAATTATAAATTAATTAAATTAAAATAATATTGTCTCTAATATTTAAACATCCGTTAATTATATCGGTGAAACCTACTTTTTATAAATTAAAATATAATTTTATTTTTAAATTATTCTTAGATGAGTTATGTTGCTCTCATAATTTAAAAATTATAAATATTTATTAATTATAATTAATGAGACTATTTTTTGTTATTCAAAAACTAATTTAGCAACTAAAATAACATTAAAACAAAAAGTACTTTTTATGATTTCTTTCAAGGTAACAAATATTTATAATTTTTAAACAATAATGATAATATTGTTCAAATTTTATTAGTTTAGGGGGATACAACTCATTTGAGAATAATTTAAAAATAAAATTATATCTTAATTTATAAAAAGTAAGTTCTATTAATACAATTAACGGTTATTTAAATGATGCGACAATATTATACTGATTTAATTAATTTAAAAACAGTATTATCCCTTTAAAAATAATTTATAAATAAAATTACAACTTGACTCTTTTAAAATTAGATAGGCAAATTGCAAACAACTTGTTATTAGAAGTATTCACAGAAGAGTTTGCACGTGACTTACAAAGCAATCTGAGTTTCGTCTCTCGCTTTTTTTTTTTTTTTTTTTCAAGCGGCCCTTCCTTAGAAACAGGAGCCCAGGAAGGAGCGATGGGCGTCAAACTTATCCAGTGAGCAGTAAAGGGACCGACAGTGATAATTACTGGTGGCGTGATGAGGGGCCCTTCCGTAATTGCACACCACGCGAAAGTCTCCACGATCACCTTCACGTCTCTATAAATACCCCCGACCAGTGGAATGAGAGCACAAAGCATAGATCCCTTGGCCTCTTGCACGTACTCCAACATCACCACCTCTTGTCTATCTCTCTCTGTGTATTAGCCATGGCATCGCGCCTGCTTCTCGTGCTGGGAATGATGCTGCTGATGGTGTCCCTTGCGCGGGTTTCATGGGAGCTGGAGATCTTGGAAGGGCAAATGGAGGAAGACGAAGACCACCATGCCGTGGCAGTGAAGGACGGGAACAGAAAGCTGATGCAGAACATAGGTGTGTTATAATAACTTGTGTTTTTATTTTTTTGTTTTTGTGGTCTCATGTGAATGACTGAATGCGTGGAATGATGGAAGTGCAGATTGCGGAGGGCTGTGCGAGGGAAGATGCAGCGTGCATTCAAGGCCGAACCTGTGCAAGAGGGCGTGCGGGACGTGCTGCGTGAGGTGTAAGTGCGTGCCGCCGGGAACTTCCGGCAACAGGGAGCTTTGCGGCACTTGTTATACCGATATGACCACCCACCGCAACAGGACCAAGTGTCCTTGATTTCCCTTTACGCTTCCTCTTTCTCTTTTCTTCTCTGTACATTTCTCTGCCACTGTTCTTACTGTCTTTTATCCATGTCTCTCGTAACTTCTTATATTTCAATATCAATGATCGTGACCCAAAAAAAATAGTGTTATTTTAAAGTCAATAATTCAAAATCAGGTAAACAACCTAATAAAAAAATGACATGGAAATTCGGATTAACTTCGATCTGTTAACTAGTTGGCGATTTAACAAAATATGTCGTCTATGACAAGTGTTCTTGGTTTAACTATAATTTTAATTATTAATTATTAAATTAATGCCTTAAAATAGTCAATCACAGTATCATGTAAGTACCATAATTATTTAAAAATTGTGAAATTTATTATTTCCAGTCACGTACCGGCTAAGTCTTGTGCATATCTTATTTGGGATTCGTTGTTACCTTGCCAGATCAATTCTTTTTTCTTAAAATCCGGAAACCCCCACCCCCCCCCCCCCAAAAAAAAAAAAAACTTGTGGGCTTTTGATCTCGAATTGTCCTGGAAATAGTGGGGAGAGGGTGCCTTCATTCTCTTTCTCTCTCTTTCTCTCTATTTCTCACCTATCCCTTTTAGAGTAGAGGTTCAACGATTTAAATTTAATTTTATACAATTATTATTTTAGTTGTAGATGAAGATGTATAAATAAATTTAAATTATTAAAATTTAATTTAAATAAATTAAATTTATAATATTTTATATAAAATTAAAATATTAACTTTATTAAAATTTAAATTAAAGTTTTTTACTGTCTAAAATATTCTCACAATCGCAATTTGATAAATTAATCATTTAAGAAATTTAAGTATTATTTAAAAGTGTTTTTCTTAACATACTATTAAAAATTGAATCGTGAAATGAGGTTTAAGGGGTCAAATCTTTATAGAAGGAAAATAGGGAGAAAAGAAGAGGAGACAGAGTCTCCTTGGTTCAAAGGACCAGGTAGGGAGAACACAAATGCTCTCTTTTTTTAAAAAAAAATATTGGGACTTCTTTTTTTTAAAATTACAATATAAATCATTGTATAAATAATAATAATAATAATAATTATTATTATTATTAATTTATATTTTTTTAAAAAAATTAATTAATATGTAGATATCTTAACAATTTTACATTTTTAAATTGTATTTTTAAACTTATCAATTTTAACATTTAATTTATTTAAAATATTTATATTTAATTACTTAATAAAGTAAAAGTATAAAGTCTTTAAAAGGAACATTGAACAATGAAGTTCAAAAATTAATAATAAAATATGATAAATTTATAGAAATTAAAAATTATATTATTTTAATTAAACATAGGAATTGTAAAAGTTTTTTTAAGAAGAAACTAAGTTTATATGAGAAGTTATTACAATGTCATTTTTATTTAACATTCATGATTTTCATCTTGGCCAGAATAATATTTATGACTTGATATATAAAAAAAAAAAAGGACTCTGGCAACAGTGTCTTCATTGGATGTCAAAAATGATGTATTGAAGATAAATTGTAATCTTTCAATCAACTGAATCTATTTTTACGTCAAATCAAATATTAAATTATGGTCTTAAATTTATAAACTTTCCAGAACTTTAAATTAATATGCACGTAACATCCCTGACATTTTAAACTTGATTAAAAAATAATAAAAAAATATTTTTAAATTGTATAACTGATAAGCTGAATCTTTAAGATATTATAATTTCACTAAATTTTTCTAAATTTTGTGTAAATAAAATTTAAGATAAAAAGATTATTTACTTTTTATTAAAAATAATAAGTTTCAATCATAACTTTTATTATGTGAATCGTGAGCTTATGTAATTTTTGTTATTGAAAAAACAAACTCTAATCACAAATTTTACTTAAGAAACAATAACTTTTGTTTTGTAGATTGTAAAAATTAAATAAAAAATCATAACTTATTAAGTATAATTTTAATTATTAAAAAATAAGTTTTCAAAATAACAAATCATATTCACAATATTTATTTAAGGAATAAGAATTTTTATTTAAAAAATTATAAGAATTGATCAAAAAATTATAATTTATTAATAAGAAAAAATAATATTTTTAAGTTAAAATTTATTGATACAGAAGTCTTTAAAAATTTTAATAAAATTATAATATTTTGACAGATCATATTATCATTTATATAATTTAAAAAATTTTATTTATCATTTTTTTTCAATTAAAAACCTCCCTATGTTTTATTTTTATTTATAAAACCTCCTTCTCTTAACACGACCGTTAAATTACTAATGGACTTTTGTTTTTATTCTATTCAACAGCCGCATTTAAATGGTCAAAAAAGGAAAACAAATAATAATCGCGCAGATGCCACCATTGCTGCCTCTTCGCCAGATGAGGTTGTTCCGCAAGTCTTTCAATTTCTTATGGATTTTTATTAGTGAAAACAAATAATTTCACTTTATATTTATGAACAATATTTAAAAATTATAATTTCACTTAAATGTTACTCCCTCTGTCTCAAATTATAAAATATTTTTAGATAAAATCTTACATACTAATAAATTTTATTAAATATATTAAGAAAAAAGAAAGAAAATTATGGAGAAACAATTTCTTATTTCATCACACGCCTCCCCGTCCAAGTAACCATGTCCCCTGAGGCCGCTACGGCCACCAGTCCCATCGTCCTTCGCCACCACTAGGCTGTTACTTTGTTTTCTTCGTGAGTCTAAAGCCAATTTTGGCGATAAGGTAAATGAAGATGGGTTTGTGGTTGGGGATAAGAATGAATAAAACTGAAACGAAATTAAAAATTAAATCAAATTGAATTGAATTTTTATTATTCAATTCAGTTTTTTTAAAAAAAAATATTTTGATTGATGAATTCGATTAGTAAGATTTAAAATTAAATAGACTGAACTAACTAAATTATCATGTATATATAATTCATTAATTTATAAATTATATTTAATTTATTAATTACTTTATTTTATTTATTCTTTTAAATTTTATACTTAAATAAAAGTAAATGTATATTTTGAGAAGTTGAAACCCTAGTCCTTAATAAAATGAATTACTATCACTTTACAAGTTTAATTTTATATATAAGTCTTGTCTATTAAAGTAAAAAAAAATTAACAAAATTAGTCTAAATCCAAGCAGCCTAACATGAAGCCCATAATTAAATTAATTGACCAAACTGAATTGTTAAATTTCAGTCTAGTCCTTATTTGATTTGATGTGGTTCATATATTTAGTATTGTTCAGTTGATCAGTTTTACATATGTTAAAACTGAACCAACTAATACTCACCCTTAGTTGGAGATAGTGAACCCATGGGAAGAAGACAATAGAAGTATTCATTTATCTTTTTAAAAGCCGTGTTACCAAATTAAACATGATATGACAATTCTGTTAATAATTTAACAATTCTGTTAAGAAAAGAGTATTTTATGCATTAAAATAAAAGGTTAGGGTTCTTTAATTGACTATTAAAAGTTAGGCATGTTATATAATCTTGTCCAAAATTTAAGAAAGTTTTATATATTTTAGTCTAAATTTTAAGAATATTTTAATAATTTCTCATCTAGACTTGATTTTCGTAAGGCCTCGTGCTTTAACAATTTTTCAGTCCTTTTAGTCAAATATCTTTATTATCTTTATACTTTTTTTTTAAATTTAAAGGGGTACTCATATTTATTATTCAATAATGTCCTGAATATAATTATTTATTACTAATAAGAGGATATTTGTAGGTAAAAATTAAAAAATATTTTAAAAAAACATACCTTTTGACCCCTATACTTTTTTCGTATTTTGTTATAAATCTCTATATTTTTTTTGTGTTTTAGATCCTTATACTTTCATTTTTTGATATTTCATATTAATTCAAAATTCTTACACTTTATTTATTTTGTTCATTTAAGGACCTAAAACATCAAAAAATGAAAGTATAAGAATCTAAACCATAAAAAAAAATACAAAAATTTATAGTAAAATACAAATAAAGTATAGAAATTAAAAGATATATTTTTTCAAATATCTTTATTATCTTTTTTGGTGCTCCGCCGGTAGCAAGTTCAAAGCAGCTTTCGAATGAAATTATTTTCCAATAGTTTATCTAGTTATCGTTAGATTGTAGAAATAAAAATTAGATACATAACACAAGGCTGCGATAGCAATCATCCCTTCAAGGATGTTATTGAGGATGCCAGATTAATACTCCATAAGGACTGGAATTGATAGGGACGCGGAAGCAGAATCGTGCTAGTTTAGGGACAGAACCCTGAAACAACAAAAACACAAGAACAAAAAAAGAAAGGGACGAAATTTATGACGGAAATAAAGAAAGGTATGAAGTAAACAATAGGATAATGATCAAGGAGAAGATCCTCTAGAGCACCTGCCTCTAGGAACCTCAACCTTCGAAGACACCACAAGAGTTGATCACGCTCTTGATCACGTCGGTTTCTCACACGGGATACCACCACAAAGCACTAAGGCTCACAAGAGTTATAAACTCTAAAATGAATAATTTCATTCAACTTCTGTGTTGTTTACAATAGGGAGTATGCCTAATTTATATAGGCTTATAGAAAAATATTTCCTAAAATTAAAACCCTAATTTCCTAATACTAAAAGGAGAAATAATGATAAAATATTTAGCCACATAATTTAGGAGATGTGATCCTAAAATTATGGGATTACAAAATTTAGAAATTAATATTATAATTAATTCTAACCTTTGACTAGACTCAAAATAGAAAATCAAATCAAAGGACCATTAAAATAGGAAATAATTTAGGAGACAATCAAGGGATCATAAAGGATTTGAAATCACGCCACTCTTGACTTCTTTACTAGGGTTTCATGTCTCCTTGCATGCAAGAGGCTCAACTTGTAGTCTTCCTTGCATTGGGCTAAGGTCTGCATCTCTTGGGCTTGACTCTTCATGAGTTTGGATCTTAAATACATTATACACATATAGATGCTCTCCTTTGGACTTGAGGGGAGTGCCCCAATGCTCTCCAAGCTCTTGAACTTCTTGCACAAGACTGAACAAGGCTTGCTTCATAGCTTTGGTTCGGGCTCTTGTCATTGGACCTCCAATA